ATACATGAGTTGTCCCCCGCCTCACAATGCATGTGATGCAGATAAAAACCATGCACCTTAACCGCAGTACTATCCAATTTAAGAAACGCGTCCCACGAAGTCGCCTCATCTACTGAAGATAACGGGGATATCGTGGTAGCACTATGCCTACTTCTACTGATGAAATTTAAGGTCTCAGTACACCAGCACTGGACAAGACGACGGCCAGGATTCCGACTCTTCGCTTGAGTATGAGGACTCTGGTAATCCGGTTGGCTTCCCGCTCTGTCCAATGATTTGGACCGCACGATGGCTACTTACACAAGTCTGAGCTACTACACCTTTGCCAGTCCAAATCGGCGACAGTGTAAAGCAAAGTGGAACGTCCCGTAATTAAAAATTTTTCATTTTTGAAAATTTTTTTTTTAGAAAAATGATTCTAAGAAGTAAATCACGAGGAGCGTGAAATTTATGCAGAATATGTTTGTGATATGGGCAACCATATTCACAGTAGGGTGTGAAAATTGAAGAATGAGTGCGCTTTGGTTTTGTCGGACATTTCTCAGCTACTGTATTGCATGGCCGAACTACCTTTTGTAATGAGAGATTTTGCTGTACTCATGTCAAAGCATGGTGAAGTCATGAAAACGTAGAAACATGGAATCCTATTTGTTTTGGACTTAGAAAGTATGTCTACTCGGCTAGCTTCTTTTTGCCGTTGCTTTCGTCGCTGAACTCCATGATGATACGCAGGATATCCCATCGACGGCGTAACAATCCATTCGGCCTTGTAATTGCCGCCTGCTCCCTTCTAGAATCGGCGTCAGATGTACAAGCAGATGAATACCCCGCATTTATTACCGTCTTTCTGGATGGGGTTATCCACGGCCGTGATGCTAAAAGTATTCTAAAGGTTTTTCTTTACGATCTCATCTGCCAGCTCTGCAAGCAAGTAGTTGTTAGCGCGCTTGTCCATACTATCATAGCAGCACACAGCCTGCGTAGATCCATCCACCACGAGGCCGGTCCGACATTGCGTGTCTACGAACGACCATTGTAACACTTGCCACTTGCGGCCGTTGCGTCTTCAGCACGAAACGCTTGTTGAGAACTTAAATCCTTCTCTCAGACATAGTCATCGTCAAAACATGGTCCTTTCGTACTGCACAGCATAGTAAGTGCATGTTGTGGGGGAGAAGGGAGAGAGCGTATTTAAACTGTCGTGGACAGGTCAGTGGGCTTAGTTGCGTTGAGAGAGCGAAACGTTGAATGGGGAGCAGCGAACATCTCGCGACGCGCGGCAGAAAATTGAGTAGCCACAAATCAGTAAATAAAAATATGTTTTTTTAATTTACAAACATGACCAATCATAGTTAAAACCTACGAAAAACAGACTTAGAAAACACGGACTGGAACTTTTGCGTATTTTGCCGATCGCGATGGAAAACGGCAAACGCTTGCTGTTGTTCGAAGTCGATAGAGCGAAATCAAGGTACTTGATCTTGTTCTCTGGATAGCCTCGTCCACCTCATTCGTCTCATAAACCTGCGGCGTGTGACGCTAGCTTAATGCGCCCAGCAGTACCAACCCAACACACCAACCTTGCCGTCACTCTCTCAATTGTCCCGGACTCCATGGCAGAGACTATTGACACAAGGGGGGAATGGGTGTCACGAGACTGCAAATATCCAAACCTGGAGGTCTTGGCGGGGATTTTTTAACCCTCCTATACTCAAACCCAGACCTTCCTCGGCATGAACCCTATACGGCCGAGCGAGGCTTAGCCATGCTTGGTCTTGGGTTTAAGCCGCGCGCTTCACACACGCACGCATGGATTCGTGTTGCCGAGCGAGTCCTCCTCTCTATTTCGTACTTTATTGGGAAAATGTGTCGCCTTACAAATCCCAAGTACCGATACAAAACTCCCCTTGTGTCAATTGTCACTCTCCGGAATCCATCACTTTCACTGTTGTTTAGTAATACTTCAGCTAGTCGAAAGTTAGCCACAAATGATTGGTAAATAAATGTCAATTCCGCAATCTACTAAATCGTTTTAACCAATATTAGGATGGTATTTAATAATATCGTTTTGTCTCAAAAGAAAAAAAATTGGTAATCTTTTTCATTAACTGGTCTACCAGATGATATTATCGCTGTATTAACCCTATCGTGGTACGAGGTAGCAAATTGCTGCCTTCAATCGCTTTGTCGAAAGTTGGAACTCAAAGAGACCCTTAAAAAGAAGCAAAATGCTACGTTGTTTACTTTTAGCCAATCATTTGCAGGTGTGTCGAGGCTAGGAATAGTACGAAAGGGAAAGTGCGCGCGACTAGTGAAATGATAATGAGAATTTTGCCGGAAAACGTACTTTTCTCACCCCTACTAACGTCGTTTTTGCTTTAGGATGCTAAGTTTGATAATAAATCCGGCGTGCACATCTCGATACCTATCATTTATCGTGTGGAGGACGGGCGCCCGACGAAGGCATCTACTTAGCAAAATACAGCCATACATACTGAAACTTCGACATATTCATAGATACATTGTTCTCGCCGCTATGCGAACAAACTTTGTCAACGGGGAGGACAAACAGCTTCTATCCCTCGCCTATGAGTGTGAGGCTGCGGGGAGGCGCATTTCATGGAAAGACCGCGCGAGCAGGATGCGGAGGAAACGTCACCCTGGTGAACTGGAGCAGAGGCTACGAGCGTTGAAGCGCACCTACGGGAAAGACATTGCGCGATTTCCACGGTGTTTACGACCCAGAGCGGCGATTGAAGACACCCAGTCCGTTAAGCCTTCTATATGTACTCCCCTACTTGCTAGTCAAGCTGAAATGGCCATCCAAGACATCTACAGTAGTGTTTCTGCAGCCGACATTCGCCAAGAAGCTGGAAAGACGGACGAGAATGCTGGTGAAATGCTGCCCGCGGCAGTCACAAGTATCTTACAGATGATAGGAGAGGTGCGGCAGGAAGACGTGTTTCTCGATGTGGGGGCGGGACTTGGCCATGTTGTCGCGCAGGTTGCTCTTCAGACAAACGCTCATCGTTGTCTAGGCATCGAGAAACGGCATGACGTTGTTAGCGCTGGAGCGAGATGCGTACAGTCGCATGCGTCTCTGTTTGGTCATCTACGGAAAGTACTAGTTTTCACTGGAGATGTACTTGACACTCCACTTTCGACACGCGCGCCATTTAAAGCAGCAACACTTATTTTCTTGAATGATTTTTATTCACTGAACAGGCAAAGGTTGTTGTCCAAGAAGAGCTCAGTGGTATGCCGAATGCACGAGTAATAGTGTCGACGTCGTTGTATTGTCTTCGTCACAGAGATTCTTGCCGGAATTTATTTTGTGCAAGATGGAAGCGAGCTGGGAACTACGTATGGTCATTGTAGCTGGGAGTCTCAGCGAGTTCCATTTTACCTATATGGCACCTCTAATGTTGGAGAGCTGCCGGAGGCCTAAATATGAAAACACGATGCCGGGAAAAACTAGAACCGCCGACACTCTTTCAGAGGGTGGTCATATTTCGGGGGTACACTTAGCACGATTTTTATGTTCAGGAGATTCTGGCTCACCACCGGACACGAGATCGCTGCAGCCTTCAGTAGCTCAGCCAAGGGACTCGAGTCGAACACTTTGTCGCTGTGGAAATATTCCTCGAATGAATCAATGCATGTGGCCAATTTCTGTAGCTCCAGTGACGCGTCCGTCTTGGCTGCAGCCTGGTTCAGACTGCTCTTCCACTCCGCGTACTCGACAGTAGCCAATTTCTTGTCTGCCGCAGCACTTGTAAACGGTTGAAAGAACTCGTCGCTATTGACAGGTGGTGACGGGTTTTGGATGTGCAAAGTCTGGCCCAAAGCCTCGGCCAGACGCACAGCGGAGAAGTGAACAAGGGCACGAGCTGCGTAATCCACTGGGGTCATATCGAAGTACCTATCGGAACGAGCAGGCACAGCACCGAGTTCGGCACAACCCTTAAGTAGCAGGTAGATGAAGTCACTGGCTTTCCACTGGCCGGTGAGAGACGACGGAGCCATGTTTTTTCCTGGACGTAAAATGGATACAGGGAGCCCACGGTGAGCAGCTTCGTGACACATTTGCCCAGCCACTTACTTGCTCTGTGCAGAAGGGAACAATGGCACGAGCTGCGTAATCCACTGGGGTCATATCGAAGTACCAATCGGAACGCGCAGGCACAGCACCGAGTTCGGCATAACCCTTAAGTAGCAGGTAGATGAAGTCACTGGCTTTCCACTGGCCGGTGAGAGACGACGGAGCCATGTCGCCTGGACGTAAAATGGATACAGGGAGCCCACGGTGATCAGCTTCGTGACACATTTGCTTAGCCACTTACTTGCTCTGTGTAGAAGTGAACAATGGCACGAGCTGCGTAATCCACTGGGGTCATATCGAAGTACTAATCGGAACGCGCAGGCACAGCACCGAGTTCGGCACAACCCTTAAGTAGCAGGTAGATGAAGTCACTGGCTTCCACTG